TAGACAACAGTCTCTTCTTTCGTGGTTGGTGTTGGGTTCCTAACTCTCCATGCTATATGTCTGTGCTCTGCTCTCCAGTGTCTTCTTTTCTCCCTCCGTTCTCTCTCCCTTTTAACAATCTCATGCACTTCCATGGTGTCAACTTCACTTCTATGCAGATGACTTCCAAATCTCAATCTCCGTCACCAATACAGTCTCAAATCTCCAATCGTGTGCAGTCAATTTTCAACCGGATAACCCACCAGCACCTCAAGCTCAACATATCCAAAACTAAATTCATCTTCTTATCCCCAAGCCCACACACTCACCTAAATTCCTTATTTCTGCTGCTGGCACCATCCTCACCATTGCCTGGGCTCAATATTTGGGTGACTCCATTTTTTTTTACTCCTCTTTTTCCCTCGTCTTTCCCATTCAGTCAATTGGTGATTCTAACTGCCATCTCTTTCACATCTGGTGTAGTTCAAGTCCTAATTACCTATTGCCTGGATTGTTGCAATAGCCTCCTAACTGGTCTCCTTGACTCTAGTCCCTCCTATCTCCTATCCATCCTTCCCACTATCGCCAAAGTAACCTTCCTAATACACCAGACTGACTTTGTCATTGCTGCCCAAAAACCATTGGTGGGTTTCCATGACCAACACAAACTCCTTACTCTGCCATTCAAAACTCTCCATGGTCTACCTTTAACCCTATTTTCATACTTTTTCTCTTCAGACACACTGTGTTCTGCTACAGATCTGAGTCCGAAGATGAAATACTAATTTGAGGACAAAATGAAACATGAGCCATTTTCCAACCCCACCTTGACATAGCCAACCTTTGTGAGGTACTGTCCCCCAACTCCGTAACATACTTCTACCATATTACTCTTCCCACTGAAATCCTTCCCTTTTTCAGATCCCAAGTCTGGGGCTACCTCCATGAAGTCCTGATCACCCTTCCTCCCTGATCACTCATATCACGGTCTCTCTTTCATACATCCTAATTTATCTTTATATTTCTTTGTTTACATGTCTCATACTTCTAATAGATAATAAATTCCTTGAGAGCAAGAATCATGTCATTTTTCATCTTAGTAGCTTCAAAGCCCTAAACATTGCAGGTATTTAATAAATGTGACCAATTGAATGCCTGGTAGCATTTAGAACCAAAATGCAATAAGCATTTCCTTCTTCCATTTCTTCCCTAATCATTTTACTATATTAATTTTATTTTATTATATTAATTTTATTATAATTCCCTAATTATACTTTGGAATCCTTCACTATGATATAGACACACACAACAGGTTCATCCTGAGCTCTTTGCATAATTATTATAACTCATCTCGGGTTCTGGTTATGGAAGAGTTAAATCTGGAGAGTGGCCCCTGGATTTTGAGGGTCAGGCCAGGAAAGCAATCAATCAATCAATCAATCAACATTTATTAAGAACCTACTACGTGCTAAGTGCTGGGGATATAAAAAGAGGCAAAAAGTCACTGTCCTCAAGGACTTACAATCTAATAGAACAGGCAAGGATTGTCTCCAGTTTATGGTAACCTTGGATAAAATGTTAACTTTCCTTCTGCTGCTGTCCCTTCTTCTGTCTCTTGGATATTTTCATAATAATATGAAAACTTTCAGAACCATAATGATACCCCATATCAAGGTATGTCCAACCTGGGATTTTTTAATACTGCAGCCAAAGATACTGAGGAGTAGCATCGTGCAATTGAAATGCCATTTGTGTGATCTTGGGCAAATCATTTCACCTGGGCCTCAGGTCTTCATTTGTAAAATGAGAAGGCTGGAGAACCTCTAAATACCTGTAAAGTCCTAAATCTATAATCTTATGATCTAAGTTCAAATCCCACTTCTATTCTTTACAATCTGCATGACCCCAAGCAAGCAAGCTATTGAACTTTTCCAAGAGGGATTGGGCTAGATGGTATCTTCCAGCTCTGAATCTATGATCCAAAGAGATCATTTCTGTGCAATTGATTTTGTTTTTAAAGAGAAACTCTTTGCTTTCCTAATGGCCAAGATTCAAATTTTAAATAAGATTGAAATCCACCCAAAAAAAAAAAATAGCCAACACCCAAAAAGTAGCTGAGACCTGCAAGTTAGTGTTATTGATATCACTGTGTTGGCTTGTGCCTTTATTTTCTAAAGCTGCTGTTGGGTTCTTTTTCTTCCAGTGCTCAAATGTGGGCCCTCTCATGGTTTCATCATTATTCAAAATATTGTGGTTATCCCTCAAAGTAATCTTTTCAAGTTAACTTGAGAGCCTATGTCTGGTGCAACAGTACCCTCTGCTGGTGAAGTTATGACCTGTCCCGGCGTCCAAAGTAGAGGAAAGAGCAATTTTCAGTGACTTGGTCCTCCCTGTTTCTTCTATGCAAAAGAAAGAAAACTTCCCGGAGTTGGCATCTAAATTTCTCACAGTAGTCAACTATTCTCATCTATCTATGCTGTCTTCCAATATAACTAATCTTTTAACATCAAAATAAATCCCGAATTATAAGGCAATCAATCAGTAGTATTCCCTGGTATATAATAACAGCTCATATTCATATAGTGGTTCACCATTTATAAAGTCCTTTACATACATTGTCTCTTTGAGTCTTATCATAATCTTGTGAGGTTGGTAATACTAGCATTGTTATCTCAATTATATAGGCCGGGAAACAGAAGGAAAGTGACTTGCCCAAGGTCAAGTGAGAGAGCTGAAATTTTATCCCAAGACCACTTAATTCAATGATATTCCCACTATGCCCTAATGCCATGGTTCCTCCTTCAAGGAGTTAGAGGGAGAGAATATCTATCCCAAAAGGTAACTCACAATACAGTATTTTACATAATGCATTCAATTAGTTGGGGCAGATAATGGGGTGGGGGGGTGGGGGGGGAATGGCCTGAGAGTTCAAGAGAGGAAAAGATTACTACCATGGGCTAGAATGGTCAGAAAGGGCTTCACAGGAGAAGTGAGGCATTAGCAAGGCCTTGAACGATGGGTAGTAACTAATAGTGAAGAAGAATAAGAGAACATTGGAAGAAGGAATGACAAAGATGATAGCTTGCATTTCTATACTGCTTTAATGAACAATAACATGGAGACAGAAATGCAAAAGGAAGGTGCTTTGGCGGGGGGGGGCAGCCAATAGACCACTCTGGCTGGAATGGCAGGTAGGGATCTAGTGGGAGATCAGGTAAATTGAAACTAACTTGGTTATGTGAGGAGGTGGTATTATGATACAGTTAAGGGGTTTATTTCATAGGCAGTGGGAAGGCTCTAAAACTTTGTGAGTAGGCACATGGTATAATAAAAATAATTCACATGGATCTTTGAGGTCTACAAAACACTTCCCCGTAACTGCAACAGCTCTTTTTACAAGTGAGGAAACTGAAGACTTGAAGATGGTAAGTGTATTACTTTGGGGTCATACACCTAGAAAATGTCACAGCAAGCATTCAATGACATCCACTATACCACATGCTCACTCTTGTGATGGTAATCCAAAGTGGTCATCCAGGAAGACTAATATCGTAGTTGTGTGCAGGATGGACTGAAAGAGGAAGAGATTGGAAACTGGGAAGACTAGTTATTACAGTATTTCAGACATAACCTACAACAAAAGATCAGGAGTAGTATGTAGAATGAGAAAAGAGGGGGCAGCTAGGTGGCGCAGTGGATAGAACACCGGCCCTGAAGTCAGGAGGACCTGAGTTCAAGTCTGACCTCAGACCAAACACTTGACACTTACTAGCTGTGTGACCCTGGACAAGTCACTTAACCCAAATTGCCTAAAAATAAAAAATAGAAAATTTAAAAAAGAATGAGAAAAGAAAGGAGAGAATGGATAAAGAAGAACAGGTAGACGGCAGTTTATTAGATCTGGAAGTTGAGGGAAAGAGTGACACAAGGTTCTGACACCAAGTGACTTAAAGAATAAGTACCATTGATAGAAACAGGGAAAAGGAACTGGTTTTGAGGGGGAAAGTAATGAGTTTAATTTTAGACTTGTTAAGTTTGAGAGGACCTAAAAAGACCAAGTGACTAAGTGGAGATGAAGGACTAAACCACTAAAGAGAAGGATGTTTGGAGCTACATACTTGGGAGTCGTCCTAATAGAAGATGTGAAAATGGTTGGATTATTGGAGAGGAAAAATGGGGCAGGGAATGGAGAGACAAACAAGCACCTAGCACAGTGCCTGACACATAATATGTCCTTAATAAATACTTTTTGATTTAGTTGTGTTTTGCAAACAAAATTAATCCATGGCTTATCTAGATTTATGTAAAAATGCATTGTTAGAGAATTCTATATTTTTTTTTGTATACTTCAGTCTGTATTCAGACCACATAGTTCTTTCTCTGGAGGCGGATAGCATTTTTCATCATTAATCCCTTGGGATTGTCTTGAATCATTGCATTGCCAAGAATAACTAAGAGAATTCTATCATTTTTTTTTAAATACAGGTTATGTGACATACTCAGCTAGAACCATAATAACAGATTCATTCTGACCAACAAACCATATTATCCTATTCTAGAAAAATAAGAAATAACACAAAGAAACTACAAAGAAAAAAGTAAATGTAAGGCTCTGGACTGGGGGGGAGTTAGAGTAAAGCAAAAACCGAGGAACTTCAAAGTAAAGACCACTCCATCTCAAATTATGGAGATTTCACATTAATTCATTGGACATCTTCCAGAAATAAGAAGCAGGGGACAGATAGGTGGTACAGTGGATAGAGCGGTGGCCCTGAAGTCAGGAGGACCTGAGTTCAAATCCAGCCTCAGACACTTACTGTGTGACCCTAGGCAAGTCACTTAACTCCAATTGAAAGAAAGGCAGGAAGGAAGGCAGGAGTGAGCCCAGGCCCAACACATGGTTCTGTTGAGAATCTCATTGCACAGGACCAGGTCCCCTGCCCCTAACCATTCAGCCAATGTAGTTGTAATGCCTTCTTTGGGTTCTTCCTGCAGAATAAGGATACTCTTTGTGTTCACAGAGGTAGAGAAGCAGAGGGATGGAAACTCTGGATCACATGGCACTTCATGGTTGAAACAAAACCTGACCCCTTGGGCAGAAACCATCAAAGAATTGTAAGTTCATAAAGAAAACAATGGCCTTGGCTTCTCCTTTCTTTTATTTTTCAGTGCACATTTTTTTTCCTGGTTGCTAGGAGATGGGGCATGTAAAAAAACTAAACGAACAGTTACACTCTTAGAATTAAATTCTAGCCTTGGAATACATGATTGCCCGTGACAATCCCACCAGGAGGATTTATTTGCTAGAGAAACCTGTATTCGTTGTGGCCTGGTGGACAGAGAGTAAAGGTCGGACTTGATCTCAAAAGGGTCCTCTTTCCATCTGCAAAAGCTGCTCTTAGAATTGCAGCTAATGCAATAAAAGCATCTAAGACAACTCCAAAAGACTCATGATGGAAAATGCTGTCCACATCCAGAAAAAGAACTATGGAGCCTGAATGCAGATCGAAGCATATTATTTGTTCTCTCTCTCTCTCTCTCTCTCTCCCCTTTCTCATAGTTTCTCCCATTGGTTCTAATTCTTCTTTACAACATGACTAATGTGAATTTAGGTTTAATATGAATGTATGTGTTGAGCCTATATCAATTTACACTCCATCTTGGGGTGGGGGGATGGGAGAGATGGGAGGAAAATTTGGAACTCAAATCTTATAGAAATGAATGTCGAAAACTAAAAATAAATAAATAAATTTAAAATAAAATAAAATTAATCAACCCATCAAAAAATTGCTGCTAATGGAAAAGCAATCGTGACAATGCAAAACGCATAGAAAGAATCCTCAAAATTGTCAAAATATCTCCTGTCTCTCTCCTCTCATAGTGTCCTTTTCTAGGAGCAGACACCATGTTAAAAAAGAAAAACTCCTTAGACTAAGGAAAAAGTGATGTGACAAGGTAATCCAAAGCCCATTCGGGACAAGAGCAGGGTAACTGGTGGAGGCTCCCCATCCCCAGCTCCTGCCTGGATACCCTGGCACTCCCTAGAACCTGGGTTCTTTTCTCCCTTTGTTGTGTCACTGAGTCTTGCCGTGGTAGCTAAGTAGAAGCAAATTCTGTGACTCAAAAACTTGCACCTGCAAGGGAGTCTGGGAAGGCTATTTGGAGCACAGAAAGATGATTTGTTACTTTCACTGCAAGCTAATAGAGGAGATAGCTCAGTGGGGTGAGGCAGCTATCTGAGGAATTTCATTGAAAATAATCCCAGCTGTCCAGGGAAAGGCACAAACTGTATGCTTGATTAAATAACACTCAGAATACCCCAGCTCCCCCACCCTATGAGTTTCAGGGCTTACAGGAAGAAGCCAGAAAGTAAAGGATCAGCCCTGTTAAACTTCTTAGCTAGTGGAGGATTAAGGAGAGTGTCCTAGCCCCAGTTAGGGAACTCTCCTTTGAGAAAATCCCCATTGGTTTTCACAGAGATGGAAATAATGAACTGTCGCACCATCTCACAAGACCTCTAGGAAATGCCCCAGTGGCACCAAAGATGGGGGGAGCTAAGAGGAATCCTACTGAGAAGCAACCTCCCTCAAGAAGTAGAAAAGGGAAAGATGTGCCCCCAAAGCTCGGCAAGCTGGCTGAAGAAAGCATCAGCCCCGTAAGTATCTGAGGACTGGTCCAAACGCTAAGTCTGGGTCCTACTTTCTTCTTGTACTCCTCTATGAAGAGCCTTCATAGTAACTTCAATCATGGAGAAAGGTAAAGTTTGCAGGAGCCCTCCAAATCCAACGAAGTTATTGTCTTTTGCTTGGAATGTCCTGAAAAATTCATCTTTTATAGCAGTTTCCCTGTCCCTGGTCTGAGTCCAGGAAACTGTGCTTTGGAGAGATATGGGATGATGCAGCCTTGAAAGCTGCCTGCCCTGATTAGAAAGAGTTAGTAATAGTAGCAATGCCATTCATGACCTACCACATCATGGTGTGGACCCTAGATTCTCAAGGATTATGACAATAGAGCACAAGCTTAGATCTGATTGCCATGATGAGCAAGCACTTTAAAGCTCTCTGAGCCTCAGTTTCCTCATCTGTAAAACTGGGATAATCATATACTACTTGCATCATAGGCTGGACTGCAGTGTGTAGGGATGAGTATAATGTGTAGTAAAGCTGGAAAGAGGTTTATAAAGCACTTTGCACAATGCCAGGCACATGGTTCAGCACTTATTATGTGCCAGGCACTGTGCTAAGTACATTATAATTATTATCTCATTTGATCTTCACAACAACCCTGGGAAGGTAGATGCTATTATTATCTCCATTTTATGGATGAAGAAGCTTTCTGAGGGGCAGCTAGGTGGTGCAGTGGTAGAGCACGGCCCTAAAGTCAGGAGGACCTGAGTTCAAATCTGGCCTCAGACACATAACGCTTACTAGCTGTGTGACCCTGGGCAAGTCACTTAACCCCAATTGCCTCACAAAAAAAAAAAAAAAGAAGAAGAAGCAACTCTCTGCCTATGGTGCCCAGGGACCAAACTTCTGGCAAAATGGCTCTCTGTACTTAGCTAGACTGGTGCGCAGATCTAGCAGCAGCAGCAGCAGCATCACAGCTCATAATTTTATAATGCTTTAAGTTTGACAAAGTACTTTGCCCACAACAACCCTGTGATATAGGTGGAACTTTTGGTCCAGTTCTGGGGAACATAATTCCATCAGCATCAGAGATCGACGTTCAGGGGACACTAACGATGCAGTCTAATCCCTCCCTTTAAAAAATGAGAAGGAAATGGACCCTGACCTCTATAGTACACCTTTTTTGTTCTAAACCCCAAACTGAATCTTGCGTGTTTGTCTCACCAGCCTTAAAGTCCCCAGTATGGCTTCTGATTGCCTTTCATATCCCCAAACATAACCTGCTCCCATTGCTCCACCTACACCACCCCCAGCTAACAAAAGTGTACCTGGCTCTCAATAATCCCTCTGCTTTGACTTTTCTTCTCCAGGAGAGACAGATGCCCGAGAAAACCAAAAGGAGGAAAAGAAATGAAGTAAACAAGTCTAAGGCTCCTTCTCATGTTGGTAAAGGAGAAAAGCCCCAAAACAAAACAGAGTTTGCTGGAGGTAAGGAAATATGTACATAGGAGGAAAAAATAAAAGTTATTGGAATGGCAGACCCTTAATAGGGAGAAGGTTCCTGAAGAGAATTGGCATCCAACCCAAGAAAAAGCTGTTCCCAGGAGAGCTTCTCGACAAGACCACTCCCTCCAGAGAAGCGCCACTCATCCCACTCTCAAGGTGAAAGGAGACATTTCTGATAGCAAGCCTGCCAAATTTCATTTCACTTATAGGTGCAATACTTGGGGTGAACTGACTATACCTTTCAAATAAAAATTCCTTTATTCATCATTTAAAGCCTTTTTCAACCTGGCCCCACCCTAACCTTCTAGCTTTACTACACATTACTCTCGTCCCTATAGACTACAGTTGTCCCTTCAACATCATGACTTTACCCATCAAGGTTTTGATATATCTCAGATCAGCATAAGAAATTAAGCGGGAATTTTGGGGGAGTTTTGAGGAAGCTATATACAACATGAGAAGGCCAGCAGAAAAACTTTAGAAATTCAGAAATAGGGGCAGCTAGGTGGCACAGTGGATAGAGTACTGGCCCTGTAGTCAAGAGGACCTAAGTTCAAATCCAGCCTCAGACACATAACACTCACTAGCTGTGTGACTCTGGGCAAGTCACTTAACCCCAATTGCCTCATAAAAAAAAAAAAAGAAAGAAAGAAATTCAGAAATGCGTAAAATATATTTATAGTATTGTATAATATAGACATATTTTACCTTTTAACACCATAATAATTCAGACTTCTTCTCTGGTATGAAGGGAGGGCCAGAAAATTTTAGGCAGATTTTCCAGATTGAGGGAGTACCACATCCCTAACCCCTGCAATGTGGAAGGGATAAGAGTACAGGCCAGTCAAATTTGCCTTGCCATTGTTTGTCATACATGGCATTTTATCTTTCATCTCCATGCTCTTGTACTAGCCATGATCTTTGCCTGGAATGCATTTCCTTTTTACCTCTGCCTCCTAAAATCCCTAGGTTGATTTGTTTTTCAAGACTTGGCTCAAATTCTATCTCCTGCATGAAGCCTTCCCTGATCCCTAGAGCTACTAATACCTTTCCCCCCAAAACCACCTTCTATCTATTTTGTATGTGCCGAATACAGGGTGTCACAAAAATCTTAGTATTGTTTTTAGGGATGAAAGCCTTTAAATATGTTTTCTCTTCTAGTTAGATTGACACTAATAAAGGCCAAAGACTCAACTTGTGTTCTGTATCCCCAGGTCCTAACACAGTGCCAGGTGCCTAACACATAGCAGGTACTTACTAACTACTTAACGATTGACTGATTATCTACACTTGATTGTGTGTGTCTACAGGAAAGCCAAAGAAACAAAAAACTGAAAATAAGACAAAGTCAGTCTCCAAGAAAAAAAAGCCAAGAGCCAAGAAGAAAGAGATGGGGCAGAAGGGAAGGACTCTGGAGATAGGGTCAGAGCTAAGTAACTCTTCATCCACAGAGGATGAATCTGATGAAGATTGCTCTCTCTCAAGTTACAACTCACAGGAATTGACACTTCCTCCAAAATATCAAACTCCTGAAAGTCAAGTTTCCAGAGATGAAAGATTATATCCTATCCAACCTATAATTGCCAAAGAAAATACAGATTCTGAAAAGGACAAAAGTGCTGATACTTCTGAGGTAAGAATGGGTGTGTTTTCTAATTCTCACAGGGGCGGGGGAGGGGGGTGGCGCACAGGGGCTGGAATCTCTCTTCATATGTTGATGGAACTTTGAAAGGAGAAAAGTACTGCCATGACAGGGAAGATATCTTTCATTATCTGTTCCCCAGGAGCAATATTGATTTTCAGGGTACTCGGGGTTCAGCTTCCTCAAAGTGATCTTTCCACTTATGTTGTTGTCAATCAATAATTAATCAATCAATAAACATTAATTAGCACCTACTATGGGCTTGTCACTTATCATTGGATATATTTTTCTCTCAGTCTTGCTTATTTCACTCTGCATCAACACATACAAATCTTCCTATCTTTCTCCAAAGTCATAATATCTACCATTTCTTACTTCATAATAATAATCTATCATATTCATATACCATATAGTTTTTTCATCCATTCCTCAACTGATGGGCACCCATTTTGTTTCCAGTTCTTTACTAATACAAAGAGCATTGGTATGAATATTTTGGTACATATTAGACTTTTGTTTCTGTCTTTGACTTTCCTTGGCTCAATAATGGGGTCCCTGGGTCAAAAAGTGTGGAGGGTTAGGTCATTTTTATTGCATAATTCCAAAGTGATATCAAGAACAGCTGGACTAATTCACAGTTCTACCAAAATTGTATTAGTGTGTTCCCAACATAAACCGTTCTCATTTTTTCTCATCTTTGCTCATTCTCATGGTGTGAGGTCAGACCTCAAAGTTATTTCAATTTGCTTTTCCCTTAATATTGATGATTTGGAGCACACTTCCACGCTGTTATTGTTGTTGTTCAGTCGCTTTTAGTTTGTCTGCTTCTTCGTGACCCATTTGGGATTTTCTTGGCAAAGATACCGGAATGGTTTGCCATTTCTTTCTCCAGCTCATTTCACAGATGAGGAAATAAGCAAACAAGGTTAAGTGACTTGCCCAGGGTCACACAGCTGGTAAGTGTCTGAGGCCAGCTTTGTTTTGGTTTTGATGTCTCAGAGTGAGGGTAATTAGCAATTGTTTCCATTCTGGCCAGAAATCCTAAGGGTCTTCCCCACCCTGACTGATTCTTTTGTGAAGGCAAAGTAGACCATCTTTGACCTCAGTCCTTGAATGGGTGTTGCCTCAGACAAACTTAGCTTAAAAAGCCCAAGGTCTCCCACTGCATCCTGAGCCATCACCAGTCATCCTGACCTATGTCTTGCCACTCTGGAGGAGAGAGTGGAGCTGATGACTTTGCACAGCTCTGCCTCACTTAAATCCAAATCACTTGCATTGGTCCTCTTTGAGAACAAAGAACAAACAATAATCAGTGAGGCCAAATTTGAACTCAGGACAATAGGCGCTCTACAGACTGCACCACCTAGCTGCGTATTTCCGTGTGATCATTTGTAATTTTCAATTCTTCTCTTGAATTTTTTTGTTCTGAATCTTTGACTACATTCTCTATTGAATGATTTTTGGTGTTATACATTTGCGTCAGTTTTAGATATTTTGTATATCACATTTTTATCAGTGATATTTTATGCCCCTCCATGGCGCCCCATTCAGAATATTAGTATAAATATGTGGTCTATGAAGTCAGAAAATAAGAAAGAAGTAGTGAGAGAGCCCCTAAATGTAGTATTTTAGAGTCAGATCTTGAGATCTGAGAGATCATAGACTTACAGGTTTCTAAGGTTTGAAGAGATAAACATTTATAAAGAGCTTTAGTGGTTTAAAACACTTTGCAAACACTATCTTATTTGAGCCTCACAAAAACTCTGTTAGGTACTAACAGAGGGGATCAAGGTGTATTCTCTATTGTATTATTATATATACAAGTATTATTATTATTATTATTATTATTATTATTATTCTCATTTTATGGATGAGGAAACTGAACCTCAGAGAGATTCATTCAAAGTGACTTACTCAAAATCACATAGCTAATAAAATGTCTGGAATATGATTTGAATCCAGGTTTCCAAGTCTAGCACTCCTATTTACTGTGTCATGCTGCCTTCTAAATTTAGTGTTCATCCAGTAGAATAGAAGCTTCTTGAGGACAGACACTGTTCCATTTTTGTATTTGTATCCCCATCACCTAGAACAATGCCTGGACTATATAAGGAGCTTAATAAATATTTGTTGGAACTCCAATTCCTGTCTCCATTTTACAGGTCAGATAACAGAGGCTCAAAATGGAAAGATAGAGAAAGCATTTACAGGCATACCTCATTTTATTGTGCTTTGTTTTATTGCTCTTTGCAGACACTGTGTTTTTTACAAATTGAAGGTTTGAGGAAATCCTGCGTCAAGCAAGTCTATCGGCCCCATTTTTCCAATAGCATGTGCTCACATTGTGGCTTTGTGTCACATTTTGGTAATTCTTACAGTATTTCAAACTTTCATTATTATTATATCTGTTATGGTGATCTGTGATCTTGTTTTTAATCTTTTGCACATATTTTATTTTCCCCAGTTACATGTTAAAACAATTTTAACATTTTTAAAAGTTTTGAGTCCCTAATTCTACCCCTCCCTGAGATGGTAAGCAATCTAATATACATTATACATGTGCAATCATGTAAAACATTTCCATATTAGTCATTTTGTACAAAGAGACTCAATCAAAAAAGAGAGAAAGAAATAGAAAAATATAGAAAATAGAAATAAATAAAAAAATAAATTTAAAAAAATAGGAAAATAGTATGCTTCAGTCTGTATTCACACAATATCAATTCTTTCTCTGGAGGCAGATAGCATGCTTCATCATGAATCATTTGGGATTGTCTTGGAGCATTGTATTGTTAACAATAGCTAAGTCATTCACAGTTCTTCGTACAACGTTGGTGTTATTGTGTATAATGTTCTCCTGGTACTGCTCACTTCACTTTGCATCAGTTCATATAAATCTTTCCAGGTTTTTCTGAAATCACCCTCCTCGTCATTTGCTATAGCATGATAATATTCCACCACAATCATATACCACAGCTTGTTCAGCCATACCCCAATTGATGGGTATCCCCTTGATTTCTAACTCTTAGTTACCACAAAAAGAGCTGATATAAATATTTTTGTACAACTAGGTCCTTTTCCCTTTTTTTATCTCTTTGGAATACAGACCTAGCAGTGGTATTTCTCGGTCAAAAGATATAGACAGTTTTATTGCCCTTTGGGCATAGTTCCAAATTGCTTTCCAGAATGATTAGATCATTTCACAACTCCACCAATTGTTCATCAGTTTTTCCACATCCCCCCAACATTTATAATTTTCCTTTTTTGTCATATTAGCCAATAGATCAGTGATTTTTTGATAATATTATAATTGTTTTGGGGTACCACAAACCACAGTCATATAAGACTGTGTGTGTTTGCTGACTGCTCCACCAACCATCTTTCTCTCTCTCTCTCTCTCTCTCTCTCTCTCTCTCTCTCTCTCTCCTCGGGCCTCCCTATTCCCTGAGATACAACAATATTGAAATTAGGCCAATTAATAATCTTATAATGTTCAAGTGAAAGAATCAATTGATGTAGCAAACTCCATTATTGTCTTAGTTTAAGAAATTGCCATAACCACCCCAACCTTCAGCAACCACCGCCCTGATCAGTCAACAGCCATCAACATTAAGGCAAGACCTTTCACCAGCAAAAGAAAAATTACAACTTGTTGAAGGCTCAGGTGATAGTATTTTTTGTTAATAAAGCATTTTTTAATTAAGGTATGTATATTGAGAGTTTTTTTTTTACATAATACAATTGCACATTTAATAGACTACAGTATGATGTAAACATAACTTTTATATGCACTGGGAAACCAAAAAATTCATGTGACTCATTTTATTATTATATTCTCTTTATTGCAGTACTCTGGAACCAAACCCATAATATCTTCAAGGTATGCCTGTACTTAGTGCTTATTCATATACCAGGTCCTATGCTAAGTTCTGGTGATACAAATACAAATAAAAAGAAAGAGAGTCCCTACCCCCAAAGCACTTTCACTATAGCAGAGTAAAATAGCAGATAAAAGGGGAAAGGCACCTGTATAGGAACAAAGCAGAAGAGGCTGAAGAGTCAAAAGTGAGGGGGAGGTCAGAGAAGAGAACACAGCTGGTCTCTCAAATGGAGGCTCCAAAAAGGAACTCACCAATCCGAGGGGGGGGGCCACAGGGGTAAGAAGCAGGGGTGTGGTGAGGCTCAAAATAGATAGCATATATAAGGCCTTTTGCACACCTTAAAGTTCTATATAAATGATAGTAGTTGTGTTGGTGGTGGTGGTGGTGGTGGTGGCTGTCAGCCTACAGTCACTCCAGACTTCCTTCCTGCAGTCTTTTACTATATTCCTGCTGATCTCAAACCCTGTTTATAGAATATAGAGCAATATAGAGGTGTGCTGGTAAATGTTTAACAACCAAGGTCAAAAAAAATGCATTCACAAACATTTTTTCAAGTTTAATCTGAATTATTAACACTTTCTTATGTCTAGACAGTCAGCAAAATAATAAATCAAGCCCTGATTTGTAGGCCTTCCAGTTTCTAAAGTGTAAATGGCTCACACTGAAAATTTAATAATGAACTCTAACAGGTTAGAGCTTGGCTCTGGCACACCTGGGGTGAGGCTTCTGGGCCAGAGGTGGAAAAGTCTGGAGACTTGCAAAAATGACTAAAAGAGTCTTCACTTAGCTTCTCTTAAGGGGAAAAAAAGAAGAGTTTTATTTTCAACTTTTTTCCTAGTATCTATTCCTTTCCGTTTAATGCAAAGCATACAGCATGTAACTAGTCAGTAAATAGTATTTGCTAAACATGTGCTATGTGCAGACATATTTACTATTCTCAACTTCAAATAGTCATAATAAATAGTTCACCTTCCTTGCATAGAGCACTTCATTTGGATCATCCCCTCAACCTGGTGAGGAATACAGGGCAAGCATTATTATGCCCATTTTATCAATGAAGAAATTAAGGCATAAAAGGGTTAAGAAATTTGCCCCAAGTGCCACAGGAAG